TGCTCTCAGCAAAGGTGGGTTCGTCGGCCAAACTGGCGACAGTCCTCGAGAGGATCTTGCCATTGATGAAAAGAGTCATACTGGGGTAAATTCTGGGTGATCAGAACATGTTTTTTTTTGTGGCAGCGAATTGGGTAGGTAAGGTACTTATAGAGCCATGGGCCTCGTCTTGATTTGGGCCGTGTCCATGCGGGAGCCACTCAAGTGGGCTAGATGTGCCTATCACCAAATTCGGGGCTTGATGGTGGGGTGAAGAACCGTCCAATGTCGTTGAGATGTCCTGCGAGGCAAATGCATGCAGTTTGATATGGCATTTACTGATAGGTCCTTTACACGTGTATCTTATTTAACCCTTCAAAGATCTACACAGCACAATTAATTACGAAGCAAGCTCGTGTCTGAGATTATTGTACATTTACAGTACAACCTCGGCATCGTCATGTCCGGCACCGGCCCTGAACTCGTGGGGACCCTTGATTTTAACCTGTCATCGCCTACATGTCTAATTGGCTGCTTTTCTCACAACAACGGGTCCGTGAAAATCGCTCACCGAGATGATCTTATCAGATTAAAACGTCATCTGATCTGATCTAATGCACGCAATACGTATCAGGTCTTCCAAGACCGAGGCCTGGGTATTTCGCCTCCACCGTCTTCGCTGACGCTAAACAAAGATGTACCCTTTCCGGGAATAAAACCTGGTCTTGTTGGGATACATGTTTCCACTGTTACATTGGATGAATCCACCTGGAGCGAGACGATTCCTCCCGAATTTTGCTGGTGTTGTGAAAGGGGCTCGAAACTTGAGTCCAGAGCTGAAGTCTATGCTCTGGTGGGTATCACTCGTAGGCGCAGTAACTGTTGCTATTGAACATGAAGTTGCACCCAAACCGAGGAAGCTATCGTGGGCCGAGAGTGTGACTATCCTTTGAGTGCCTTCACGGTATGACATTTTCTCCCCCTGAATGCAAGTCTTCCAGAGCTAGCACCATAGTAGAGGACAACCTGAGCATTAAGACTTTTGTTACAGGCGCGGCAAACAACGAGGGAGCACACATACTCCAGCTCACCTCCCTCGCAGGCCCCGACGCCGTAGTATTCAGTTCAACACCCTACAACTCCTCCTATCGCCTGTCCCTAGTCGCGCGTGCCATCTTCGAATACACCTATATTCTCATTCAAAGCTTTGGCAGGATCATCGACACAATCGACGGGAGCGCCCCGGTCAAGTCTAGAGTTTCGTGACACCGCCCAGAACCCTCACGTCACTTGACTCTCGCAGTTTTGCCCCATCAACAGGCTTCCCGTAGATAAATATGCCCTGAAGAATTTGTTCTTTACTGTTGAGTCTTGGAATGTACAGCTTGAGAAGTTGTCGGTCACATGTGATGATGAACGTATCAAGGCTTTTTCGGCAGACCCGTTCAGATTTGGAGAGCGATGATACGTTCAAGGGCTCATTGGGTGGTATAGAAGGGGGCGCTTTTCATTACGTGTTGCGTTGCGATATCAGTGGCTGGACTGTCGGGAGGCTTAAAATTAATATGGTGGATGAGCTTGTTGCTGTGTTAAGTTTGACTCACGAACTCTGTGACGATCACGCAACAAGTCAATCAAAACCCCAATGCGGGGTTCCTTACATAGATACTTGTAATTACACTGCTTTTTGTTGTGAGAGATGTCCAACTGACCTCAAAGAAGTCACATGGTCGTTTTGTTTGAACAAAGAACACCGTGGGTTGACAACAGCCTCGAATGTGAAGATGGGCTTTGCAATAACCTGACAACGGGCACATCACGTTACTCAGATAGACTATGTCGAAAACAGTAACCTCGAAGGTTGCTGTATAAGTCCTGAGATCCTTCTAGTTTGCGATGCCAGTGACCCCCTATTCCGTCTCGTCCATCGAGTCTCCATCTACAGCTTGAAGTACAGCCGTTGACCGTCGCCGTCACAGCGAAACCTGTAAGCGTTCTACTTATAGGCATCAGCATTATAACTAACAACATAATCCAAGCTACCAAAATGACCGTCGAGTTTGAATGCGGCTTCAGCATCTACCCTCCTCTCCCCCTAACACCCTCCAGTCAATCCCTCTACGCCCTCTTCCTCGCCCGCCTCAGAACAAAATTCTCGTCACGAACCCATCCCTCCACATCCAAACCGCTCCTTATAACCGACGCTGACACTGCCTTCTACTTCTTCACATTCCCCAAGTATCCCAAAATCCCCGCCAATCCTGAACACTGCAACTTCTTCCTGAGTTTCTGCCTCAGCTTCGGAAACGGTGGCTTATCACGAGAAGTAGCTGTTTCTCATGTCCTCGAGGTATTAGCTATTACGAAGGAGTATTTTGGCGAGAGGGTTAGGTACTGGAATGGGATGCACAGAATGAGGTATAATAAGCAGTGGGGGTACTATACGCTTAAGGATGTGGAGGAGGCGGAGGCGGAGGTCAAGAGGTTATGTATGGGTATGGACTTTAAGGTTACAGTGCTGGAGACAGTGGTGGAAACAACGGATGAAAATAACGTCGTGGAAGTTGGTCCTCTAGCTCTGCTTGGCTAGTTGTCCCCTCGTCTACACGTACACATGAAATATGTCTCAGTTACCTTCGATCGCAAGTCCCCCATCGCCTACAACTTAACCTTCAAGACTCCTAATGATAGCAAGCTACAGACGGACCTGAGGCAGTTTCAATTTGCTACACTGGTAACGTGTTTCGCATATCTATTGGCATCCATTACTGAACCAGTTATCCGAGACCGCAAGTCCTGACGGGGGACTCTTGGAGCTCCATCGTGATTCATCAGTGATATCCTTACCCAAGGGGGCCAACTTACCTTGCCACAACATCTTAGTAAGGGGCCTCTTCTCGGCGTCGACCCCAGTCTCAACCGAGGCTCTCGGTCCCATTGGATGAAGCGTAAAGCGAGAACTCGTACACTACGACACGGTTTCCCCGTCCGAGATACCGGAGACCTAACCACATAATACTTTTAATACATATTAACTCAACTAATTTAGCCAAAATCTGTATTTAGCAGCAACATCTACAATTCTGAGTAGTACTGTGCTGGTCCCAAGCAAGTCATTTCTAGAGATACAGGTATGGAGAGCTGTGCATGAACCCCTTACTCGGGCATTTTTGAGCTCAAAGTCTACATCTCCTTACACGAAATAGCCGAGGCCTCATCGGTAAGACTTGGACGTAACGCTCTGGCTTAGCTCGTAGATCCTGAAGGATGCTGGTCGGTAGCATTGAGGTGTCAGCAGAGTTGCGTGCTACTGTTGACTTCATCCTGCCAACATTTGCCCTGCATTGGGGCCACCCGACTACTCCCCGTCTATTTTCTGTCCAATTCACGCTCATAGGCTACAAGATGATCCAGTCGCAGCTTACTCAAGAACTCCATTAGTGGAGCAGGCCGAGTCCCTTGAGGGAGGGAGGGAACGCTCCGATCACGGTTCACATCTAAGGAGGTACATAGCCATTTAGCCTGTAAAATACGTATTGGTCGCTGTGTTCGAGCCGAGACTTGGTCGTGTCGCGATTGCTTGCGAAATTGCAATAATGGAGAAAGAGCCGCGGCTTGGGATGCAGCTGTACTTCGCACTCAGCGAACTACTTCTCCTCTAAACTTCAAGAAAGGTTCCATCCATTTCTAACAGGCTTGCCTCCATTGTCTTTTTGAAAGTTTATACGTTTGTGCACCTTGCAAGCAGCCCCAAGTTGGGATCCACATACTTCGTGATAACTTCATTTGCTGTCATTCACCAGCAAACAAAAAGGAGGCAGACTAGTTTGAAACAACACAAAATCCGCAAGTAAAACAAGCAAAAAGATGGTTGACTCCGTCAGTGCACACACACGTAGGCTACTGAGTCTTGTCCTTGTCCTTCAAAGATGCGAAAGCTTGTTGAAGGTGTTAAATTTATGGTTCATCTTTTGCAACAAGATTTGTAGATTAGAGTGTCGCGAGCTTCACCAAATGAACTAGATGTTTGTTTAAGCCTCGAAACTAAGGGCAAATTGTGCATAAATGTTGGAGCAAACAGCTTCGCAGTTGCCAGCGCCAGGCAGGAGCGCAAAGAATTGATGCTCAGCGACTTCGCCATCGACATCCATCTCCTTCAAGTCCATCTCAACCCCCCATCGCAACATCTCTTGCATCTCCACCCTCATAAACACACTCATTCATCCCAATAACCAAGTCCTCATCATGTCTTTTGAGTGCGGCTTCGACATCTTCCCCGCCCTCTCCCCTACCCCCGAGAACAAAATCCGGTACGCCGAATTCCTCGACGACGTTGTCGCCGTCTACAAGACCGACGAGGAATCGCGCCTCCTCATCCTCCCAAGCGACGCCGACTTCCCCAAATTCCTCGACAAGCGCTTCGTACACTTCGTGCTCACCAACAACCCGCGCATCCCCGCCGACCCCAACAACTGCGACCTGTTCTTCAGCCTGCGCAGCTCGAGCGTCTTCGACGTCAGCGTCATCGACACCATAAAAGAGATCGCGACCATTGCGCAGCACCATTTTGGAAGCCGTGTGCACTTCTGGACCAATGTCAGCGACATCTACACCCGCGGCGAGGTCACCCGCGCGGAGTGGGAGGTCTCCAAGAGAAAGGATGTCTCGGACTCGAAGTGAACGTGAGAAAATCGGATCCCAGCGCGCTTATCTTACCCCGATACTTCCGATTACGCTACTGGGAGTTGGGTTATATACGCCCGCATCTGCCGACATTGCGCGGCAGTCATGGCATGGGCTTACTTTTACGGGTTGGGTTGGGGCTGACGTTGGGACCGAAGGAATGGGAATAAGCACCAGGGTGTTGTATTTTATTAGACCAAAGGCAAAAGCAACAGATCAGTTGATTCTGATACAGGGATATCTCCATCGAACAAAAGAAAAAAGACAAGTTTAATCATAGCGTGCTCCCATGCGTCCAAATCTCTAGCCAAAATTCACGGTGTCATGTCTCGGTCCATTTAGAGCAGTGCTACTAAGAACGCATTAGCTTCGGCATTTGGGTTTAAGTGATTATCTTGCTGACCTGATCGAGCTTCCCATGACTTGTAGGGGTCGGCTGGCTTTTTTGTAGGGTCGACTGAGCCTGCGAGCTTCCTCTGGATCTTTTCCTTGAGTGAAGGTTTATGAGGTGCTGTTTCAAGACCTGTTTTGTTAGTGAGAGTGATTGAGGGGGTGTGAATGAGACATACCAGGCTTGGTACTTGTTGAAGGCTTTGTTGTGTCAACGAGAGTTGTCTCAGAGACGTTGGCGTTCTTGTATGTAGGGTTCGACATTGTGGAGGTGTTGAGTGTTGTGTGTTGCGTTTTAAGTGTATAGTGTAGTGTAGTGTAGAGTGCTTCTTTGAGTGTAGTGTAAATGTCTTTGTAGACTGTAAACTGTAATGATGCTGATGTATCTTGATCTGATGCCTCAAATCTCGGGGACACAGCTTCTACTTATACTCGAGATAGAGTCTACACACCATCAATCGATTGAGTCACAAACGTTAAAAAATGACATCTCAGCGCCCTTGAAATGGATCACATCTTGTCAGCCCTGCATGATTGAAGGCTTTCGATCCGACTCCGAGTGACACATTCCGCACTCTGCATCACCACTCGGCGTGCCAAAAGTAGTATAAACCCCTGTAAGCCGAGCTGAACCAAGTGGGTACTGGGCCCCGACTCTCCATTATTCTCGAGCCGAGCCCCTCGAGTCCAAGCCGAAGCCACTCATTGTCAAGCCGAGTCCACGAGTCTCAGGCCGAGTCCACCAAGTCAAGCCGAGTCCTCTATTGTCAGACCGAACCCCACGCTAGACACTTTGTTCCCCAGCCCCGAAACATCAAACGCAACACGCACAAATTTTGAGGCCGATATCTCAAGCCGAAGACGACGTCCAAGCCGAGGATTTTAAGATTTATCATCATCGGATTCATCAGCATTTCAATGGCGCCATGTCAACGGCCCCTCTCCTCCTACGCCTAAACGGTCGCCCTCAGGCTTGCGATCCATGTCGAGCGCGGAAAGTAGCCTGCGACCACGGCCAGCCGACCTGTTCACGCTGCAGAAAGCGGAACGAGACGTGCGTCTACACCGTTTCGGGCGCCACGGTCAAGAAGCAACGGCTTCGGTCCCCCGTTCGCACCCAACCTCAACCTGCACCGAGCACTGACTCAACGCCCTCACCTGCCGTGGCTCCTGGTTATCTCGGCTTCACCAGTCACAATGCTGTCTTTGAAGAAACGCGCAATAGCCTCTCGCTCGTCCACGGGCCTCCGGTGGGGGTTGTTGAGCCGAGGGCGCCGAGGGGTAGAAGTGTGATTGACCTCCCGGCTCACTTGAGGGAGATGAGTCTTTATGTTCTTCGGTGTTTACCTCAATCTCAGCATGATGTTATGGCGCATAGACTTCACTGTCTCACAGACGGGTGGATCTTTAGAGCGATTCAGGAGATTATCGACACGCTTCATAAAGACTGGGGACGGTATCTCTCTTCACGAGATGATGCAGACCTAGATGTGGTGGCGCGTCATATAAGCAATAACACGGCAAGGCCTTGGCGCGATGAGCATTCAAGTGCAAAGGCTTGGACTGATCAGTTCACGGGGAGTAATATCCGATGGGAGTCGGTTGGGTTGATCTGGACTTATTGGGATGGCTCGCCGAGCTTTGATGCGCCTGTTGTGGTGAAGTGTTTGGGGTATTGCATTGAACTGGCTCGACATTTCACACCTGGGAATGACATTATGCTGTATCTTTGCTACCGAAGAGTCACCACTGAGTCTCTCGTCTCAGGCGATGCAGGTGAGTTGATGTTCATCACACAAGTTGAAGCTCGCTAACAATCGTAGGTTTGACATGCTGGCGTTACTTTGCAGAGACCGTCGCACTCCTCACATTCCTTGGTCGACACGTCGGATCAGAAGACACAAACTACATGCCCTCTCTCTGCTCCGAGCACAGACGTCGCATCACCGCCCGCGTCTTCAACATCGACAAAGTCCTCGTCTCGTTCACCGGCCGTCCACCGCTGCTCAGTCGCCGCTTCTTCTCATCCCCTTTGCCACTCGACCTGACAGACTTGTGCCTCGAATCTGATCAAGCTACTATACGACATGCGGTGCAAGAGCTCGATTCCAATGGGTTTCGCCACGTGGGTGATCTGAAAGGATCGTCTATGGTCAGGGCGCGGTCACAGATTGCTTACATTAAGGATGAGCTTCTTGAGATTGCGCTTGCGAATAGCGTCAAAATCACTTTTGAGAGCCTAACGTACGTCACTCTCATGCTTTTGGGGGCTTTACTGACCAGGGTAGTGAGATCAAGGCTCGCGCTGAGAGGACGTATGAGAGCTTCCCAGCCAATCTCATTCATCGACCCGACGAACTCGACGATCCAGACTGCGATGTCCAGAAAGTATACTCAAGAATTCTTATTCGACTAGAACACATGCAGAATCTCTTCTTTGTAGAGAGGATGTTACTCCGTCTCGGCCACATTGATGAGAACCGGTTACTCCCGATCAGCTTTGAGATGGTCACCTTGACACTCCTCTTCTGGACACACCAAGATCGCTTCTCAGGCATGAGACGAGATTTCGAATGGCTCGTAAGTCAAATCCACATCTACACTCCTCTGTATATCTAACGCCTCCAGCTCATGGCCTTCGCCGCTCCCGGAGGCGGTATCCTCTGTCTCGAACTCCTCCGCCCAACTTTCCGCGGCACCCATCCCGACTGCCCCAAACTCAGCCGCTCCGCCATAATCCAAAAACTCAGTCTTCTCATCGGATTCCTCGACTGGGTCCGACCTCCCGCCCCCAACGCCGATCTCTGCGCAGACTGCAAAGCTGTTATACAGGGTGTACTAGACCACAACCTCAATGCGCCGATTGCGGGTGGAGGAGCGCTGGATACGCTGGACTGGGACATTCCGACGCAGTTGGATTTTAACTTTGATCTTTTGGATACGTTTGATTGGTTGAGGCCTGAGCAGCTAAGTCTCCCTGCGTGAGGTGAGGAAGTTCTGGATTGTGGTGTTGGTTTCGGTGGGAGCTTGGATATGGATCCAGTGGCTGGTGTTCAGCTTGACGGTTTGAAGATGAGGTGCCCAGGATGAAACCATTTGCTGCTGTTGAGAGGCGGATTGCTCGGGCTCTGATGGGACGATGAAGAGAACGGGTTGCGAAATGCAAAAGTTTTCGTAGCCTTGTTCATCAGGGGCGAAGAGGTTATCTCTCCACATTCGATACCAGCGACACACGCCTTTATACCCATCAGCCGAACCGAATGCCTTGAGATGTGCTTTCTGCAAATCTTCGGTGTACCACGGCGCGATGGGAAGTCTGCGGTCTTCGCGCACAAACTCCTCCATCTTGCTAAGAGGATGGAACCACGCCTCCCACTCTTCCCGATCGCGACAAAATATCAGACTCATCGCCGCTTCAGCGTTCTTCTCGAGAACTCCCTGCGATCTGTAATCGGCTAGCCATGGGATGTATCCGAGCATCTCATACCCCAGAAACTGCTTGGTCATGGTGTTGATCATGTCAACGTCGAACGGCGTCCCCAGCTTCGGCGGTCCAACGGCTAGAAACACGAGAGCTTCCCAGCGCGAAGGGTAATAAGCTGCCATTCTCGATAAAAGCGTCGCGCCGAAATCATGGCCGATTCCCACGAGGGTCTTCAGGTCCAAATGGTCAAGAAGTTGGATGACCTCATCGCTCATCGGCTTGAGACGGTACGCGTCTGCATCTGTTGGCTTGCTACTCTCACCGTAGCCAAGAAGATCAGGGGCCACGATGCCGTATCCTTGGGACGAGAAGTGCTGGATTTGATGGATCCAGTCTGTAAGGGTTGATGGGAAGCCATGAAGAAAGAGAAGGGTTGTGGATTGGGAGGTTGGAGGGATGAAGATGTATGAATATACATTGCCACTGTGGGCTGTAAATCGCTGTCGCGTGGGTAATTCGAGTGCCATCCTAATACACTATGAATCATTAATTGATACAGAGTAAAATTGAAGCAATTGATTGGAGTGACGATGTGTCGGAGATTTATACCCTCGCGGAAAGTTCTCGGACACTTCCTCACAACCCCACGTCATCTTCACGAATCCTCAATATACCTCTCATAAACCTCCCCATAAAACCTCCTCCCAATCTCCCTATGACTTCTAACCTTCGTCCTCAACTGCGTCTCCCCCCAAGTATCGTACAACCCCTTTACAAACGGATTATCCACTGCTCCCGCCTCACCCGCCTCCTTACCTTTTCCCCACCGGTCAAAATGCTCCTTCAACGAAGTCATCGCCTCCTCCCTCGTCAAATCACGTCGCACACCTTGAAAGAAGGGAACGCTGAATCTTTCTTCTGGGGATGATAGTACGCGGTGTGTTGTCGCTTTGCATACGCCGTTGGTGACGACTTCGAATGCTTGGCCGATGTTGACTACGAAAGTGCCCGGGATGGCGGGGACGTCGATCCACGAGCCGGATTTGTTGAGGACTTGGAGGCCATTTACTTGGGGGGATGCTTGGAGCAGGAAAGTCCACCATCCTGAGGAGTCTTTGTGAGGACCGACGCCTTGGGATGACGTTGTTGATGCAGGGTAGTGAACCAATTTGAGACGATGTTGGTCCGACAAGTACGAGAAGAAGATGTCATCCGGAAGATCAAGAGCTTGCGCAACAAGTCTCAAAAAGCGTTCCCCTAGTAGTGTAAGTTCATCGATATACCGCGTAACGACACCCTTCAGCTCGGGAAGACCAGACGGCCATTGATTCGGTCCCCTCAACCCATCGTACAGCGGCGCCCCATGAGGCGCTCTCTCAAGCTCTGTCGCAAGCTCAACCTGTTCTCTCAGATCATATTTCCCAGCTGTAGTCTCCGTCCCAGCAGCGCTGTATCCTAAAAAGTGCGGTGAATTTTCTAGAGCGATTTCTTGTTTTGCTTCTGGGGGAAGGGAGAAAAGGTCTGGCAGGATGTTGACGAGGGATGTTATGGTGGAGGTGGGGACGGAGTGGTTGGAGATGTAGAGGAAGCCGATGTCTGTGAGGGCAGTGCGGAGATTAGAGAGGGTTTGGGGGGTGGGTGATGAGATGTCGATGACGGGGATTTGGGTGAAGTCTTGGGAGGGCATTTTGATGATGGTTGTTGAGTTGTGAGTGAGTGCCTTTGCGTGGTGAGTGTATTCACGTGGTGAGTGGTTTGTTGCAGTATGGGATATTTGGTAGATCACGCAATGAGGGGTTCACTGATGCGATGTCGGCAGACAATTGAGAAGCCACTGAAC